CAAGCTGCAGCCAGTTTAGCTGTCAAATAAAAATAACTTATGGCGCTCCACTTTGTCATCATCCCTTTCCTGACTCTCCCTTGGGCACCCAAGACTGTTCAAAACTGAACGCTAGAGACTGTCAGAAATAAAAGTCTGAACTTCAGGGTAGACCTGACCAGAAAGTAAAATCGATTCTTGGCGTTGCACAGCAGGGAGAAACCTCTTACCTATAATCCAATCATGACAGCTGTTTGAGCTGCAGCTCTGTGACAAACACCTCTCCTCCCCACCCCCAGCTCTACCTCTTGAACTGGGAATTCCAGGGTCACCGGCACAGCTGGAAAAGATGATTGCAACAACTCAGCACACGATATTATATGATTTGCTTCTGAGAACTTGTTTTGAGCCTACCACCTGACCAAACAGTTCACCACTATCATGTGTAAGATATTAACATTTCCTGGGGCAGAAAGGTGGTACTGAGATTGATTGCCCTGTGTCAGGATGGGGTTTACTTCTTTGAAGATTGAATTGAGGAGGTTACGTGATTAATTCCAATAATTAGGAGTCTCTTTTGTTCTTCATTTGATTTTGGTATTGAAATGTTACTTTCGGTTAAAACCAAGGATATGTCACATAGGTTATGAGAAAATAAAAGCTTTAAAAGAAAGAAGCAGCCAAATTTGGGGGTAGAGGAGATGTTGTTGGACTTGGGTCTATATTTCTGAAGAACTATTGCCTGGAATTTTATAAAAGCAAAGAATGCAAACATCATCCTTGTGTTTATATTAAGAGGTAAGCATTTTAAAACAGGCAATATGTATTTTAAACACTTTTGTTTCTTTTTAATCTTGTGTTGCACCCAAAGAATGCTAATGGTTACCAAATTGTTCTTTGGCAGAGTAAGCTGACCCTTAAAAGAGAAAAAAAAGAAAAGAAGTGTCATGGAATGTGTTTCTAGCACAAGACAAAGTTATGAATCCTCAACCATATGCAGATATTAACTAATCCAGTGATCCCAACCTAGGAAGTGACCTGGGAGCTTTTTTCTACATTGCAATTGTGTACATTACATGGCAATGAACAACAGTTTCCATGGATCCTAAAAAGGAGATATTTCTCTTCATTAAGAGAGCAAAGTTGGGGGGGGGGGGCGGTTATAGATAATAGCTGAGCTTATCTTTGAGCTGCCCGGCCTCCTCATCTATGTGTCTCAGCTTGTCTCAATTGGTGCTGGTTATCTCAGCAATAAAGCATTCAGTCTCTAGAAGTAGTTTTCTTTCCACACCCTGTAAACAGGAGGATGGATATCTGTTATGTGTGCTAAAAGGGTTGAGTAAAACGAGCATGGCTCTTCTTCCCTGTCACTAGCTCCAATCAGCTTTTCAAATCTACACTGAGTGCATCCCCAGTGACTCATGGCCTAGTAAGGAACGTGGATGTTTGTGATGACACATTCCTGAGAAGCAGCAGATCTAACAGCCCAGTGACCCGGCTTATTCCTTCCCGTTTCTTTGTGCAGAGATGTTTTGCTGTCCCAGCTCCTTCACCATGTGCTAACAATTAGACAATGACTCCATAAATGAAGAGAAAAAGCAGTGTTATGGATGGTGGGTGGTTTGTTTTCTTAGTTCTTTATTGAAAACATATGGAGATGTTTATATATAAATAGAAAACAGTAGAATGCTGCCATCATGTTAGCAGCAGCTCATACAATTCTACATGAATAGAAATCAAACATGTCTCTACCTACACCAGAATGCTGGTTTACTCACATCTGCACATCCTGTCTAATTCAGCTCGAAAAGCTGTTTTATTATTTTAGGCTTGTTATTCATAGATGGAAGGAAATTGTGGAGCAAGAGGTTTTTTGGTTTTGTTTTCTTATTCCTCTTGTGGCTTAATCTTATTATTTTATTAGCAGGGATGATAAATTCTGTCCAAGTAGACTTTATCATGATCACAAGAAAAATTTTAAAACTGTATACATTTGTTTCACTACAGTCTCTGTATCTTTGAACTAAAAGTGAGGACTGTAGCCTGACAGTTGGAAGTAAGCTTTAGCAAACAGGGCAGTGGAGGGTTGAAAGCACAGGCTCGGGGAGGCAGATCTCTGTGTTTGAATTCTGGCTATACCACTTACTAGCTAGGTAACCTAGGGAAAGTTAGTTAACTTGACTAAACCTCAGTTGCTTCATCTGTGAAATAAGAAATATAATAGCACTTATCTCATAGAATGATTGTAAGCATTACATGGGATAAGCTGTGAAGCATTTCACACAGTGTCTGGCAGGTAGGAAGCACCACAAAAATGCTACCTATCATCATTATAAGCAGATAATAGAGTGGTTTATACGGAGACCTTCCTTGAAAATCTGAGGCACTGATGCTGAGTGGTAAGACCAGTAACAATTGTTTATCAAGTGCTAATTATGTGCTGGGCTTTACAATGCACTCTTTCTTACAACTCCATGAACTGGGTATCCTTATTATCCCATTTCACAGAGAAAGAAACTGAGAGATTACACAGATTACTCAAAGTCATACAGCCAGTGATTGGCTAATCTGAGGAGCAAACCCAGTCTGAATAATTCCAAAACCCATACTCTATTTCTCTGCTAAACTGGCTGCCACATATATAACATACGGCACCTTTGAAAGCTCCTATACGTGTATTATTCTCTATGTTCCTGTCAACATCCTGTGACATTGCACAGTGGCATTCTCAAACTGTAGAGTCCCATGTCCCTAGGACATCTGTTCATTTGCAGTTGAAGAAGGCCATGAAGCCCCTAATGCACACTTTTTAAAGGAGCCCTGGCAAGTTCAACTCATGCAACCAATCTTACTTCGGTCTACAAAGGTCTGTTCTTTGAAGGTATTCAAAGGTGCATATTCGCAGGCTCATGTTTCAAGCTTTAGAAAAGAGCATTTGTCCTAACCTACAGATGGAGAAGCCAAAGGCCATGGAGATGTGACTTGGGGACAGAGAGAGAGGCCAGTCACCCCTCTCAGCAGCCCAGCATGTCAGTTGCTGAGTCAGGAGTAGAATAGAGTGGGTGCAGGGCTATGTCCACCTCACCAGGCTGCTCATTAGGGTTGGGTCTGACAGCCAAACTGCTACCTAGCTCTACTTTTAACCTAAATAGTACACAAGTAGGGGCACTTTGCCTAATTTTCTTGTTGGAAAGATGGGATCTGCCTAATATGGTAACCTTTACTTGTAAGGTCACCCAATTCTGTTTTCATTTGCAGATATATTGTGATATTTCTTTTCTCCTTTCTACAGGGAGGGACAGAGTTAGGGGTAGGAGGTAGCAGGGCATTCAAGGGGAGAGGGTTAGGACTGCAAAATTACATGTCAACCTGCTGACCTAGCATCAATGCGCTAAACAAGCCCTGAATGTAAGACATTAATGCAAATATTTGCATATTATTATTCTTTACTCTAATGATCCTTCAGTAGCCACAGCTGAAAGCCTAGGTGAGACTTTTTATTATAAAAGCCTTGGGTCTTTCTCTGAAAATCACCATGAAGACAGAAATTCCTTAGATGTGAGGGTAGAAATATGAGCAGACTTATGCTTTGTTAACCTTCTCATCATTAACAACAAAATTTTAGTATCCCAGGGCCACCTTGTTCAGTCCTATAAATGCTGGCAACATCCTCCTTTAGAACCTGCCACTGCTCTTGCCCTTGTAACAACAGGACACTTTCAAGGCAATAGTTAACAAATCATTGTAAAAAGGAATCTGTTGTAGGAAAAAAAAAATGCTCATGCAACCCTCAAATTGTTATGTAAGTGAAAAATCATTCTAATTCAGAACAAGTGTTACTTATCATACCATCCCATGCTAGTGATGGCCAATGTGGAGTTCTGGAAAGCATAGGATTTCAGAGTGAGCTCTACCATTTACCTACTGTGTGACTTCAAGCAAATCACTTGATCTCTCTGATCCTCAGTTGCTTTTCTATAAAACAGCATCAAACAAAAAGCTGTCTTTACTTTATGGGTTATAGAAGATGATCAAAAGAGATTGCAAATGTGAAAGCTCTCTGGAAGGACTGTACAAATGTTATTGTTGAGTTTTACTAGGTGAATAATCAGGAATGAATAGCAGTGCCATCCAAGGATAGCTTGGGAATAACTCAACCAATGTAGTAGTTGGTCAGTCTTGAAGAAGAGGCTGGCTCCTGGGAAACAGATGGCCTGGCCCGTTTGAAGTGTCTTAAACTTGCAAGTCTTAGGGCTATGTGGCAATTTAGTTGTGCAACCTAGTGAGAGCCGCTTATATTCTAAGCTCTTGCAGTGACAATATTGGCTACAGGAAATCACTGTGTGCTTTCTCATCAGACTTTATTTGGAAAGAGTTTACAAACTAGTGGCCTGGCAGAGCTGCCGGGGTTTAGAGTGCTATGGTTGTACACCAGAGAGAGCAGCCTTTCATGTTTTGTTCTATTACCTCCCTCCCTGGGGATTCAACAGACAGAACAACAGCAAAATCAGAAACCCAAGACAAACGTGCCAGTTTGATGGCTTTAAGCCTCAGCCGAGTTCACAATTGAAATAAGTTAGAATATCTATTAAAAGAAAAGAGGTGCAGAGAAATAGGTCCTCAGGGCGTACCTTCTTTTCTCTGAACATGGCTGACACTATCTGGAGATCTGGAAGAATTGTATCCTGGTACACAGTAGGTGCTTAAGAAAATTGGTTGAAAGAATATTATTGTTTGAAGAAATAATTGAGTAAATTTAATATGGGGCTTTATATTTCTTTTCATCATATTTTTTTAATCCTTCCAAGTCAACTCGAGTTTGGCAAATCCCATGATGAGTAATTGTGCATCCCAGAACAGTTAGGTAATATGCAGACCAGACCCTAAGTCAAGCAAAGCAACATGTGTTTTGGCAATAACTGGTGAGAAAATAAAATATTTGATTGTTGTTGTTTGATAGTTCCCAAGGAGAAAGCAAAGAAGCAACAGATATGAACCAAACAATTTTCTCTTTTGTTTAGGCAAATAGTTCCAACTACAGCCTGGTGATGGAGTCTGACTCAGGAACCTTCTTACCCTCTGGGCTGCAATTCACTGGCAGTGATAAGGCCAGGGCCATCATGGAGGAAGTCATGAGCCTGCTGAAGCCCATCAATATCACACAGGTCTTTAGGGCTGGAGAAGGGACAGACATTAACTTCTGGATTCAAGCTGGAGTGCCTGGTAAGACCAAAAGATGAAAATGTGTTCCTTATATACTCTACCAATTTAGAATAAAATTTCTATTTTAACATGCCACAATGGACACGGGTAGGCCAGTTAATGCATGGAAACCCTAGGCTCTTGTCCACAAGGTATAATCTGATGATTTCCAAAGTTGGGATAATAATACTCATTTGTATTTGTTTACCTGTCTACCTTCTTCTAAATTATAAGTTCCTCACTTTTAGAGATTCTGATGTATTGATTCTGGGGTTGGGTCTAGAAATCTGGTTTTTCTTTAAACAAGTGTCTTTGGTGATTGTAGCACAAGTGATCTCAAGACCAAAATTTGAGAAATAGGGTAGAAGGTAATTATTGCTACTAATATCCTTCTAAGCTCTAGAGCAGTGCTAGGAAATGTTCTCTGACTCAAATAATTCCCTACCCAAATACCATGGTAACTGAAATTTTACCATTAGAAATTTATTCTTCGAGGGTAGGTACTTCCTGCTAATTATTTTCTTCCTAAAGCAAAGACTTCTGTAAGAGGTTGGAGATAAACTAATTTACCCTTATCAGTGATTTATCAGGTTGACTTTTTTTTTTTGGTGAGGAAGAGTGTCCCTGAACTAACATCTGTTGCCGATCCTTCTCTTTTTGCTTGAGGACATTTGTTGCTGAGCTAACATCTGTGCCAATCTTCTGTTGTTTTTATGTGTGATGCTGCCACAGCATGGCTTGATGAGCGGTGCTAGGTCTGAACCAGGGATCCAAAGCTGCAAACCCTGGGCCACTGAAGCAGAGGATGCAAGCTTAACCACTACACCACTGAGCTGGCCCCTATCAGGTTGATATTTTTAAGACAAGTCCTGGGCAGGGATGAAATTATATAATAGGAGTAGGCCTGGGAGGTTATAGGACTAGAAAGTGCAATAGTCTTATGGAAGACAAATTTATACTGCTTGACAAATTTGCTCCAGACTGGCCATGGGAAAGGGTAGTTGATGATATTAAGCATCTATGACCTGAGAGTGTTCCCTCAACACCATTATTATCCATAATCAAAAACATTGTTAAAGGATCCATTTGCAAATTGTTCCATATTTGTATTATGCAAAAAGGAAGTCCAACTTTTGAATAGTTTTAACATTACTGTTTCCAGAACCATTTCTGTGGCAATAAAACATTTCACAAGTTAAAAAAAAAGTGTATTTCTAGATCCACCCTACTCCAGCTATTTTTTTTTCAGCCTGCAAAGTAGATTTCAACAACAGCATACTACAGGGATTTAGGATTTTTAAAAAGCTTATTCTTGAGATATTTTAGATTTTTTAAAGCATATTTTAGATTGTAATGTTTATGATAGTCTTTCCTAACTAAAAATAGAAGAAGCTTTCCTTTATTCTAATACAAGGGCCCAAATGCTCTCCAATGGTTTGTGTACATTTTAACCATATTTGAAATATCTTAAAACAACATTTCCATTTATAGTGCTGTGCATCATCTAGCAGATCCAAGTTCTCTACGTCTGTGTGATTCGTGATGATGATCAAGGTCGAGGGGAAGAGAGTTTTCCCTGTAGGTTGTATAAAATGATTTGTTTGAATTTTAGATTTTTCCTGAGCTTTAAATTTTTCAGTAGGAATCTTCTTAAAATTTGAGAAAAGCTAAATAAGTTTGCTGAGTGGTCAATGTAAGGAAAAGACTGACAGACTGTGGGTGAATTAGAGTGGAGACTGGGGATGGTTAAAGGGCAGGTGAGGAGCCGAAGCCAAAGGCAGAAGTGGAACAAAAAAGCATGTACTCCCTCCTTCCAGGCATTTCTTGCTTTTGTTGCACTGGGTACTAGCTTTATTCTTTCCGTGGAGATATTCCATAAAAATGGTTCTGTTTGGAATTAACAAGTTGGTTTTATTGTCTTCACAAAGGTGAGGATGCCTTTCCCTCTTGCCATGGTAGAGTGGGGAATTTGACCCTATTATGGCTGGTTAGAATTAATATAAGTTACAATTTAGTGAGCTCCTGTTATTTATCAGACACTGAGTTTTTTCACACTATCTTTTTTTATGCCGTACAACCATCCTAAAAGGTAGGTACAATTATCGCTATTTTGCAGATGAAGAAACAGACTCAGAGGGACTCGATGACTTGTCCAAGGCTCTCCTGCTCTTAAGTACAGAGGTCACCCTGAGAACAGGCCACTTTGGTTTCAAGGCTGGTGGCCCTTTTCCCACAATATGCAACAACACAGGGGAGTCGGGAATGCTGAGATGGACTTCCAGATCTATGGCAGTGTCTGAAATGTTTATCTTACTCAGCTCTTGCTTATGCAAAGGATTTCAGTTCATTCCTGCTCCGGAATAATTTGCCCCAGGGGAAAGGAGTTTGTTATTGTCAATAACTACTTACTTCTTCTCACATTCTTTGTTCCACTCCCCTCTACCTCTGTAGATCAGTCGGTAGTTCATTTAGACTGCAACTGATGTTTCCTGGAATTCTTTTTTATTTCCTTTAGAGTATTGCAAGATGGAAACAAATTATTGCTGTTTTTTCCTATTATTATTGAGCTATCTTTTGATATTTCAAGTTTGGGCTATTCCTGGAACAAATAATGGAACTGCTCATGTTATAACTCTCATTACCTATTGAAAATCTCAGGAACTTTATCTCAAAAAGAAAATAAAAATATAACAGTTGTTTACCTTGTATTCTTGAAGATATGGCAAATTATGAGTTAAACCTAAAGAAAGGATTCAAAATAATAATTAAGCTTTGATTTAAATAACTGCTCATCTAACTTTTGAAAAATTAATGAGAAATAATATTTCCAAACTCCAGCCTTCCTTTCTTCTTTCTCTTTTTCTTTCCTTTCTTCCATTGATTCAATAAATATTTACTGAGTCCCTACCATGTCCATGGCCTATCAAATCGCTATAGTCTGATGACTAGGCCTCAATGTTTTTAATGTTACATGTATACTCAATATTGAAATACTAATTTAGAGCACAGATAGAATTAAAATTCAACATGATTTTCATTAGTTATAGAAGCCAAATAGATAAATTTATGAAAGGATCCTTTTTGGAGACCAGAGATGATGTCCTTCATCCATCTAGATGATGTCCATAACAGACAGGATAACTATCAACATAAATAAGGCTTTGGGGAGAAAAAAAGTTAAAAAACATAAGTATCTTAGATGTATTTTCCACATAAACTCTCTATTTCAGATGTCTGTATACTCCAGGCTCCTCCCATTTCTATTCCTTCCATACTCCTTATTCTTCCCCTACAAATTTTACATGCTCTTTAAGGCTCATTCTATTTTCATCGGTGTCCATGAATCCTCCTTAACAGCCCCTGGTGCTCTATTGCTTTTCCAAATTTCTAAAATACTTTTGTAGCCTGCAAGCTGGCACTTGAATTACACTAACATTGTTCTTGGGTTGCTAGGAGTTTATGTGCGCCCTACCTCCTATACCCAGTGATCAGTTCTTTGAGGTTAAGGTCGATCATTTCTGCTTCTTTGCCTCCTCTGTATCTCTGAGTTTAATTCTGGGAAACATTTAAATTTTTGTAAATCTGACAGAGAAGAAACAAAAACATAGAAGTAATTATTTTCTCAACAAGCTTTAGGTCCCTCAGCTTAAGAGTATGGAACAAATAAAGGACGCTGAGGAAAGAGACATAGAGATAGAAAAAATATTGGAAGGCTGATATAAATTAGAGAGACTAGAGTGACTAGGATTGTTTCTCTTAAAAGAGTAAAGACTGACAGAAGTATTTCCTAGTACTTGAATGATTCTCATACAGAAATGGTAAGCAGTTGTCCCCTGACTCTTTCAGAGCGTGACATGCGGTCGTCTAAGAGGGATTCAGGTTAGTCTCCATTCACTCCAGATAGCAGGGAGGTTTCACCTGATTCTCCCTTTGTGAGTTGCAGGGTAGAATTCAGAATATTCATTCTAAATATGTGAGTAATGAGATATAATCCATGGTTCTCCAATATCCTTACATGCATCCTTCTTGAACATCTTCTTTCTTTACAAACTCTTCCATAAAATAAACGTTGATGAAAAAAATTAGATACACTCTTAATATGACCTGAAGGTGTGAGCCCACCCTTATTCCATATCTACCAATAAGAGTTTCCTTCTCTGTTTCAGAATCTGAGAGTCAACCTTTTTATGATATTGTTGGCATGTGGTAGACAGAGAGCTGGAAAGAATTAGTGTTCTGGTTTCACAGATTCTAACTGCATGTGCTATCTTAGGCAAATGATGTAATTTTTCTCAACCTCACTCATTTATTATTAAGCATTCTTATTAATCATATACTATATAGCATGGGGAATCAGTAGTAAAGAAGATAGACACAATTCGTACTCTCACAGACTATAGTACAGTCTAGTGAGTGAGATTTGGTTATCTCATATGCAAAATGGGTATGGTAATCACCAAGCCCCCACATGTGTTCCTCCTCTTCTTCTGTCTCCTATCTCATTGATTGGCCCCACCATGCAGAAACCACTCAGTCATCCAGGACGTACAACCAAGTGGTCTCCAAGTCCTGTTTACTCCAAATCACTTCAATTTCTTAAACTCAGTCACTCCCCTCCGACCCCACAGACCTTGTCTCAACAGTAGTCACTGATTTTCCTATGGTAGCCTCCTACTAACAACCCAACCTGCCTTCTTAGTCCCTTTCATCTAATTGGCTCACTGCTTCCGAAATGAACTTTCTAAATTGAAAATCAATCTATCAATTGGGATGATTTTGGCTGCAAAATAAAACAGAAGACTCAACTTAGAATGACAATAAGGGGATTTTTTAATCCACTTAAAAGAACTCTGGAGCGGGTGGTTACAGAATGCTTAATTTAGTCATCAACCACACCAAAGACCTTGTTCTTTATGTTTTGCCACTTTACCATCCACAGCATGTTGACTTTTGTCTTCAGGCTTGTCCCCTCATGGTCCCAATTGTCTGCAGTTGTTCCAAGCAACAAATTCTTACAAATT